CAACTTGACCCCGCCCACAAACACGTCATTTTACTGACGACTGCTTCTCTAATCTCGGGGAGTTCAATGCAGGATTCACAAAACGCTTGCTCTTGAAAAATGAATCACCACTGAATCACAACCTGTAAGCATGATAAATAATAGATGTTGAAATTTTCTATCTAGCGTTCAAAATACAGAACTATGGCAATGGGCGGATCATTTCCAGCACACGCTGTACGCGGTAGACCAATCACAACAGACTGGGCCATCTGACCAATCAGAGCAGAGCAGGCTCACCGAAAGGAGGGGTTTAGAGAGACTGAATCTTTGAACTGCTTCGAACGAATCGTTTGAGAATTGCTGGAAAATGAGGTGATATTAAATGCATATTTTGAGAAAACGAAAGTGTTTTTTGACCTTGCATGCATGTAATCCTATTGTAGGACACTCCCAAAACAATATTAGGAACCGTAAAAATGGTATAATAGGGGCACTTTAATGCTAAAGTGCCTCAAGGACAGATCACTAGATAATCGGGAATTTGATGAGTTTTAAAATGAGCATGTTATGCCAAAAAGTTTTTTTTAATTAAAATTATTATTATTATTATTATTATTATTATTATTATTTTAATATGACCTATTTAAGCTGCTGCCTCTGTAATTTGATTTTACACCAAATGAAGTCTCTAAATGGGAAACATAAACAAAAATCTATATTTTCAGATCCATCAGATATAGAAGCTACAGTCGTGATGTTTTTTTTTTTTTTTTGGTGAAGGTGAAGTGTATCATTTTGTTAGCATACCATACTTTTTCCTAATTCACTTAGTAAATCAAAGAGTGAAAAAAATGTGGTGCTATCAGGACACTGCTCTGTTTATGCAAACACCACGATCAGCCCAGCAACAACATCTGCTCAACCAATAGCACGAATTTGGGGCGAGACAGGGATTTGCTTGCTTGAAAACATTCATGATTTTTGTAATGACATTTGGTGATGCTAATGGTGCAGAAATTATATGCTTTGACTTTAAGCAACACGAGAAGGTACAATAATCATTTATGTTCAGGATTCATCCAGCACAAGCGTTCATAAACCCTAAAATGCTTGAATGCAGCTGAGAGAACAAAACATTCGATGTCCCATATTTCCATCCCAGCAGGTAATTAAACTTAAGGATATGACAATAATCAGGTTGTAAAACACCTGTTTCTCCATAGAAATGGTGTCAATCTATAACTGGACTAATTTGATTCAGCACATGAAATGTGTGTGATGGACGGAGGAATAAGACCTGCAGGTTTTAATGCAATTTTCCAGACCATCAACTTGTTCGCTCGGTGCTGTGGCCTTTTGTGGAGCAGCTGCAGGCAGGAGGATGGGAGCCGACTCCGTTCCCACTGCTGACTCAGGATATGGAAGCCTACAGCACATCATCAGCCAGCTCCGGTCGAGAAAACGGAGATGGAAAAGAAGATGAGACACAGTTTGATGGGTTAATGTGGCCCTGTGCACCATCCGGTTGCTCTTTCATTTTTGTCATCCAACGAACAAGGGCTGGGCCATCGGAAAACACATGATAAAACAGTGCACAGAAAATGGTCACAATTTGCTTAAAGGCACAGTTCACCCAAAATTGAAAACTGTCATCATTTGTTCACCCTCAAGTCGTTCCAAACCTATGAAATATGAATTTCTTCTGTGGAAAAAAAAAGAACAACATCATACAGATTTAAAACAACATGAGTGTGAGTAAATGATGACGTAATTTAATGTATGGGTGAAATATCCCTTTAAAAGTCCTGCTTTCTTCTGACCATTTCTAACAAAATCTTGTCTCAGAAAAAAATTGGGGGTGTTACGCCATACTTCTCTCTGCCCTACTTTTCCACGATTGTTATATGTATATTATTCCTTTGTCTCTTTGCATTTGTATTGGTTTCTAATGTAATAGGCAGTTTAAAAAAGATGAATGTACTCTACTCTAAATTATGATATGTGGTGGTTGCCAAACCTTTGGACATGCAGTAAATACGGGCAGTGCACTGTAAAGCGTTCATTAGAGTGGAACCTCTTACAGCACAGAAATACTGGACACAATCGATCACCTTAAATATGGCCCAAAAAAGCCTGAGACTGAATAACCTGCATAAGGAATTCCTCTTATGTAAACATGACACAGCAGAACACAAAGCAAGGGCATTGTGCTGCTGCCATGGAAACCTCTTACGAAGCCTCTTTATTACCAAGTGAACACATAATGTGTTCTGGACATAACATCTGGTTATTTGGAGCCGAGCATATTGCTAGCATGCTCTTCACCCCCACAGAGATTAACCTCAAATCACCATCACGACAAATAACAGCATCAAACAGACATCGTGTTCATGAAAAAAACCTGAGAAAATGTCTTTGCAGGCTGGATGACTATAGAAATGTAGTATATACAAGTGAAGTGGCAGATTGGAATTGTTGTTTGATGGGAATGAAACACTTTGACAGGAAAAACAAACAGACTTTTGAGAATAAATAAAAGAAAACAATAGCTTTTTCTAAAAACTAGTTAGCTGACCCAATGGTTACTAAAGTTACAAAAGATGGCTTCTGCATTTTAAGATCATGGAACATCAAAATGGACTGATTTGGAATGCCCTACTTAGGCAGCATCGTGTCAAGTAAATGGGAGACTTGAATTGGAATTGATTTTAGTACAGGCATCATGTATGTATTTGGGTAAAACATTGAGGTAAAATTATTCTACATTATTTATACTTTTCAGTATTGAATGAATTCTAAGTATATTTAGAATTGGTATTTACTTGTTTGCTCCATCTATTTATTTGTTTTGTCACTGAGCATATTGCAGTGCATTCTGGGATTGTATTGTATGGAAAATATAGATGCAAAGCTGCCCTAGAATCCAGCTAAAACAAGTTATCTGACAAAGTTTTGGAATAGAGCAAATGCTTTATTTTCTTAGGCCAGATATGCAATTATCCGAATGTTCCAGACCAAATGAAAGCATTTAGAAAGGGCTGACAGTCACTAAATCTGAATGAATTAGTAAAGATCATTTCTTTTCTGCATTCTGTTCTTGTACTCTTGTGAAAAAGAACAAGGTACTTCATTATAGAAAAGTATCCTCTCGAGAATCCAACACATCCAACTCCATTAACAATTATTTACCTGTGACATCCAGTAATTCAATGAAAAATGTTCTTTGTCCACATTATTCAGGGAGTACTTCTATTAGAAAAATACATCTTAAGCAACACAGAATATCATTTTCCCCCCCCAAATTTTAAATGAAGTTGTCTTGATCCTCTGCAGAGGTATTCCTGTACGATGTTTGTAAGTGAGCTGTGGGATGTTGTACCACCTCACAGCCCTCTCCCCATCTGTCATGTCAATGCTAAATAGAGATGACCGTTTCAGAGCTATGACTTGAAGAGTTGAGGACGCATTAACAAAAGAGCCCACAGGTAAGCTAATTCATGACTTTTTATTTGTCATGCTCACCTTTTTTCCCCATGAAAACATTCAGTCCTCAGATACAGTACATGAGCCATTTTTGGCAGCCTGGCTTCCATCATGAAAATACATCCACATTTAAGCAATATCACAAGCAAGAGCACTGTTATACTAAGCCTATTCAAAACAACAGCATGATTGCAAAAGTGATATTTTTACAGTGAATCGGAGATTTAACAGAGATTTAAAAGTTAGTTGTGCATCATTTTGGGCAATGAAAATAGTTCCAAAAGAAGTCAAAGCCTCAAGCAACAATATCAAACAACCTGTATGTACCGCTCACATACTCTGGTCTGGAACATTGCAAGCTCAGCCAATCAAATTCGAGGACCAGAACTAGCTTTTGTAAAAATGGATTTGAGACAATATGGAAAAAGAAGAACACTTTTGCTCATTGTTCCATTTAACTTTACTTGATTCCATTTCCTTTCTGGTGAAAAGTAAAAGGCAGCTAAACAAGAGCTTGAAAATGCCAACACCTTGAGCACAATGTATGATCTATTTCACTTTAATTCAAGAAATAAGCGAAAAGACCGTTTCCCCGAGCACAGGAAATATGAATAGCAAATGACAGCAGTGAGTGGAGGAATGAGGCGAAAGCTTTGGGGAGGGGGGATGTTGGATGGAGAAATGGAATCAATCACGCAGAGAATTCGGTGGCAGCGAGGACATTGGGCCTGTCAGAATATTCCAGCTTCTGCGTGTGTGATCTATCCGCAGCGACGTAGTGACTGTGGAGTGGAGACCGGAATGGGAAATTGGATGGATAGAAACATTGAGAGCTGTCCTGCCAGATGGCTGTTTTGGAAAATAAGGTTGTTTTTTCCCCCTCTCTTTTTGAGATGAAATCATTTGACATGGCATAATTCTGGAGGGCAGCGACCGAGAGGGAGAAGAGATGGTGACTGAAAGTCGACAGATATGGAACAGCAACAAGAACATTGGCACAGATGCATAGGGTTTGTTATGGAGCTTCTTGTAAAGCAGTATCACAGCAGTTAGGATTCTGGACATGTTACTGAACCTTATTGTCCTTAAAGTGCTGAGCAAAACAGGAGGAAGAAACAGGCAGTGACTAACACATTTTGATAACGGCTGCGCAAGAAACTTTTGAATTTGCATTTTTATTGCCATTGCTTATTGATGTTTTTAAAAGCAGACAGGGCGTGAGGAGGGGAATGTCTTCAAAGCCGGGAGGAGCCTGATGAATATGGAATTTGCTGTACTCATGCTATTCATTAAGTTTGAAATGTTTTTTGAAATGTGGCGGCCACCATCTTCCATCTGTGGGAAATCATCTTTCAGCTCTTGGCAATTTCCATCAGTGGGTCCCTAACAGGGCACCTTGGCCAGCCCACCCCCTCCTCGCCTCCACCGCCCTGCAGCCATCCCCAGGTTCCATCTTCCAGCAGAGATGTGAGTCAGCCAGCCCTCCTCGCAGACTGCAGCTGTTCCACTGCATCCTTGCTTACCCGAGAGACCTCGGTCGCCATTCCAGGCCAGCTGAGCTCACACTATTACCTCCACAGGCACTTTGTGGACTCGCATAACTAACACGCTGCTCTCACTCTCACACACACTCTCGCATTACCAAACACCTAATGAAAGAGGCACGGAGAATCGAAGATCTGTTCGAAATGCCTGGTTCCCGAGCACTCGCAAAACAGTTCAGCTGCATTAAGCCACCGTTCACACTGACAGCCATGAAATCACTGGAGGCCGTTGAGTCTCGCTGTTGGTTGTTGGTGGGCTGTTGACTGCTAGTAGGCATTCATATTTGACTGCTGAATCTTAAATATTTCTTAAGATTTTTATGTCATACCCTTTCAAAATCCTAAAATTCTATTTCCAAAATTGTAGTTGTTTTACACAATTTTTATATATTATTTACTCAAAAGTCACAAAGCCCCTTAAAATTCTATCACTAGAGGACCGTGAGTGTTTTTGTTGTTGGCTGCTAGTAGGTGTTTCTAATCAACTACAGAAACTTAAATAATTCAAGTTACAGATTTTCAGTGTGGTCTCAGATGTCTGGACCCCACTGTAGTATATATTTGAATGACAATTGATAAGATTGCATAAGATTGCAAAATTGCACTAGTTTACCCAACTGCCACTGAATATTCACTTAATATTCACTTAAAAGCACTAACACACAAACAAAAAAATGGCAGAATCTTAAAGGGGTCATATGATGCTTTTTTAAAGATCATTATTTGGTGTATTTGGT